CATTAACATTCTCCTTTATCCCGTGTCGAATAACATATCTTAATGTTTCCATATTGTCCCTTAACAATAACTAAAATAAGACTTAATATTTTTTTTTTGTCTAAATTGTCTAATGTCGTAAATTTTTCTCCAGTTTTTTATAAACTGCCAATCTCCATATTGCAGGTTTCTTCTTTCTATTAACTCATCTAATTTATATCTAAACAATCCTCGATTACGATTATCCCTCTTTCGTCTTCCTGTCAGACTCCATTCTGTAATTTTATTTATCCAGCTTCCTGAGTTTGCTCTCGTGCTCCCTTCGCAACAGTAAGTTTTGCAAAAGCTGCTATACTGTGCTGAAAGTTCGCATGTAGGTTCGCTCAGTTTTGAGTTCTATTGTAGACCATCTCTTTTTATCTCCTGTCCATTTTATTACTACGAGTTGGGACGAAATGCTGTCAGCCGCACCTATATTGGCCAACGCCCAGGATCCCCCAGGATTCGTCAGCTCCCTGAGATATCGCTTAAGCAACACTTTCTCCCTCGTTTAATGGGCAGCTTCTATTAGACATTAGACTCAGTAAAACATGGGATAAATTTAAATAAAAATATTAAAATATTAATCCTGCCGGAGGTATGACAGCTTTGCGATCCACTGTTAATACCAATGGAGAAAATCACGGGGAAATTAGATCTAGGATAGAGCAGGCTAGAGACAGAGACCTAAAATTGGCATTGAGGATCCGCCTACTTCGCTACTACGTGTTCTCGGTCTTATGTTATGGTGTCAAGTCCTGGACTGTGAATAAAATCGATCTAAATCGCCTTGAGGCTTTCGAAATGTGGTGCTATAGAAGAATTTTAAAAGTTTCCTAGGTGGAGAAGATTCGAACTCCACAATACTAGAACGTCTCAGCAAGACTGCTGAGATCATAAAAAGCATTAAGCAGAGAAAGCTGAAACATTTCGGACATGTAATGGGAGATCCCAAATATAGGTTGCTACAAAATATCATGCAAGGAAAAATAGCAGGCAAACGCAGTCCAGGACGAAGAAGAACCTCATGGTTGAAGAACTTGCGAGATTGGTATGGTGTTGACACAAGCATGCTATTTAGGGTGGCAATGAATAAAATTAAGATAGCTATGATGGTAACCAACGTTCTGAAAGGACATGGTACACGAAGAAGAAGTTAATACCTGCGAAAAATATATACAAGGAATGTTATAAAAATTGAAACGAAAATGCGATGCATTCCTACACACACAGACATACACGCGCTGGGGAGAAAGAATAATCTGGATTAGAGGTGAACGAATTGATCAATACTCGATCCGGCAAGGAGCGAGAAGTGACTAATCAACAGTTAGTCACGGTACGGTTCGATCTCAGATCAACACTGTAAGACTTGGTTTGGTAGCTGCTACTAGATCAATACTCTAGGTTGGTCTTCAGTCAACAGGGCCAATGGAGTTGTTCCCAGATCAAAACGCTGATAGAGCTCCTAGGACTATTGGCCTTTGGTCAATACCCAAAGACCCGGTGGAGTTCCTACCAAATCAGTACTCTACGGACCTCGATTCTCTAATAAAATAAAAACGTTCTATCTATCTATATATCTAATTAGCCTTCCTCGGTCCATCTTTGGACATAGGCCTCCCCAATCCTTTTCCATTCTTCTCTGTCTGTTGCTACAGTCATCCACCTAGAGCCCACGTGCTTCTTGATTATTGATTATTGCCTTAAAATTTAAATGTCATACTTAAGATATTTCAAACTTAAATTATTTTGACCTTCTTTCTTCTGATGTTCCGCATCTGCACCATATACTGTTTGAACAGCATTCTCTTCGGATACCTGATTGTTTTTGTCGTTGACTCCATTGCATATTTTTCTGTAGGTACTTGTTTCTGGCATCGTACCTACTTTCCTTATTTTAATTGTCTCTTGCGGCAGAGGTTGTTTTACACCGTTTCCGGTCTTCCGTCTCCAGCGCGCGAATTGGAAGATAGCGGTGGGAATTGTTGCTTACAGAGTGGTGGTAATCGGTGACAATATCTGGTGATGCACATCGTTACACATGTCTGATGCGTTCCATGGCCGCGATGGAGTTAAAACTCGGGATTAGTATTAGATAAGATTGTAGTGGTTGTACATGATGGACTGACGATCTCAAGAACATGTCAAGAAATTGGATGAAAAGTGCTCAAGACAGAACACAGTGGACAAAAATGAGGGAGGCCTATGTCTAGCAGTGGACACAAAGGGATGGGTGATGATGAAAAGTTTACGTATTTAATTATATAAAAATGCTTTCAACCTTTATATGTCCTTCAAGTACAGCGGAAATATAAACAAGTCATTGCTTTTTGTTGTGAAATAAAAACAGCAGCCCAGTGTCAATTTTTGTCAGTGTAACTGATACAGTTTGTTCGTAAAAACATTCTTCGAATAAAGTGCATTTGGCAAACGTATCAAATGGAATGACCCACAAAATTAAGTATTTGACATCAACAACTGGAAGTGAGCCAAATTTCCATTGTGTGAAAATTTAGTGTGTGTGGTATAGTTATTACCAACTACAACAGCTTCGGTATTTATAGAATATGAGGTATTTCGAGTTGTTTGTTTTTCCGAACGGAAAATCAATTACAGCAAGCTTATTAAGTTTTAGAGATTTGTTAGAATTGAAAAAACAAACAAACTATGAGGATTGTATGGAAAGCAGTGTTACATGAATACGTGAGTCATTTGTATACAGGTATTTTTCGTTGTTTTTGATATCTATCTTTCTGTCGTCCTGACTCTCGATGTTATGAATATATACACCCAAGTTTTTCACTATTTTTCTATCTTAAGTTCATGTTTTTTCCAAATTTTTCTCTGAAATAATAATTGCATCTCTCAATTATCTTTTTTGAGGCATCTATTTGTGCCTGTCATTTGTCTTGCGTAATTGTCTTTTATTTTAGTTTTGCTCAAAAATACCAGTTCTCTTACCTCTTATTATAGTTTATTCTATGTACTTCTTTTACTAGCATCCTGTCCCGAGAATGTCGATACCATCAAATGTAGACCAAACCAAAGAAATTAAGACACGTATTGAAATATCATTCGTTAAACTTAAAAAGTTTCTTTGTTGTCAGGATATAAGGTTAGGACTACGCTTTCGGTGTTACGTATTCACTACTTTTCTTTATGGCTTAAAAACATGGGCATTAAAACAAGTGCATCTGAATAAGTTAGCCGCCTTTGACTTTTGGTGTTACAGAAAAATCCTGTTTGGGGTTACGCATATCTTGGACTGAAAGAATGTCAAACGCAGAGTTACTAAAAAAAGGTGTGACCTGGTTTTAGATATTTTTATTTTGCAGGTTGCTGCTCTCTTGGTCCCTTGGCAATAATCTGCCTGGCTCAAACTCCATCAATATGTCAAGGTGAAACAGTACAATGGATGTTCTAAGTCTCTTTGAATAGGTTTTAAGTTTTCCAAACTTTCATACAACATACTCCATCATATAGGCATAGTAAGCGTTTGTTTTCAGACACTAGTGTTCATAGAATATATTCAAATCTTATGTTATATGCAATTCTGCATTTTATTTCAGTAGTTTGATTTTTTTTTCAATTTAATGCTGGATTCAACTATCTGTGTTCACTGACTGTTTTCAGTGTAACTTCGCCATGATGATTGTACATGGTGTATATTGTCTTGTGTACTGAGTAATTGCTTTGTTTTCGCTTTTTATATCCGAAAAAATCGCTTTTATCTATTTAAACTATCGCACTACAGGATGGCGGCCGTCGCTAGTGAATATAGTAAGTACTGCATTATCAAACCGGACGGTCTGGGTTCGATCCCCGGCACAAACACAAGAAAATTTTAAATTTCTAATTTAAGTTAGCCGTTACCATACTTCGGAGACTAATTAAAACCGTCGGTACCGGTACGTAAGTATTCGTTAAGACTAAAACCTGAGCCAGAAGATTAAATGAGTGAACAATGTACAATCAGAAAATTGACTACAGTACCTCCGGTTTTAACAGACGTCTTCCGAAAAATAAAAAAAAATCACACAATTGGGCAACGTTAGATTGTCAAGAGTAACATTCATGTTATATTTCTGCCAATTTCAGTAGCTGTAACCGTATAATTTTGAGTTAAACTGTGGATACTGAATGGGAAGATTCCTTGGAAATGTGGACGTATTATAAAGAAGTGTTACGAGGAAAGAAAAATAAGTTAAAAGGAATATAAAAGAAAGAAAACTACAATATACCTATGTGTGGAGAAAAATACATCTTGAGGCGCATAATCCAAGGCAAAGAGAGCAAAAGTATATTTATTACCTATTAAAAATAATAAAAATAAAATAATAGATTTTGTAATTCTTTATTATCTTGTCTAAGTACCTAACTTTCAATAAATCAGTAACTGGAAAACTGGTGCCGAAAACAATTTAAAAATGTGTACGGAATTGCACATATTCCGGTATTTCTTTCAACAACTGCATAAAATCGCGCGAACATTTAGAGGACATTTCAAGGTCAAATACAAATTCACAAGTCGCATACATAAAAGCGATTTCTATTATACCCATAATGACTGTTTAGAATCAACACAGTCCCGTTTATAATGTATCAGGTAATTAACAGATAACGTGCCAAACAATGGGTAATTAATTTAAAAAAAATTCCTGTCTACTTCAACCGCCATTTTGAAATGTAGGTATCTTGTTCATCACGTTCCACGTCCTCAGTGATCGCGGTTGAGAACGGTGAACAGTTTTTTTGCGATCAATTTAGAATTCCTCACAAAAAAAAACAGGATCGAAACTCGTTCTTCCACAAAACAAGATTATTATTCAAAGCAAAATAAACCGTACCTATCTACTCTATGGAAAATATTAGTCAACTTGTTGCTCGTCGCTTTCAACCGTATTTCGTTTGCAAGCTTCGGAATCCGTCGTCGGGTATCGTTCGGCCGCCGTTGCCCCGATCAAAGTTAGTCTTTTGTGAGAAGTCAACACGAGTGGATGCTACGCAGTTTATTCGTTTCAAGGACATTTTACACTGACAAATTGGTTAATATGAAAACTTTGTGCTGTGCTTTAGATTAGTGGAAAAGTGAATCTTTTTTGGTAAGTGTCGTTCGAGCCATACAAGAGGATTAATAAGTGTTTTTATTCAGTGCCTTTATTCTGGATTATTATTTCATGTCGTGAAAGTGCAGCTTGAATTCTGATTTCACTGCCATATGCCAGAGTTTCATCTTACTACGTGCGGATGGATATTGCAGGGAAATTGTTTTGCTGCTTTGTGGAGTGTAAGAGGTTTGACTGCATACTTTGTTCGATCTCGTCCTGTAGCTTTGATATTTGGCCTTTTGTCTTTGATGCGTTTTTCGCTTTACGAAAAAGATTTTTAATCTGAATAGCTTTTCCTCAGAAGTAGAAATTTGAACATCGAAATACTGTTGTTCAATTACACTGTAATAAAATCAGTTAGTAACTTAGAAAAAAATATATATTAAAGATTTTGGGTTTCCTATAGATTTTTGGCGCATTTCAATTCCGACACGTACAATATCAATCAATACAATATCATCGAGCATTTCAGTTCTATCACGTTTTATAGGTGAATAAATTCACGGGAAAACGAAATTTTAGGATATAAAAGTAAAAGCGAAATGCACGAGGTAATAATTAAAATTATACAGGATTTGAAATAATCAAAGGATCAGTAATCAGTTATTAGGAAATAACAGATTAAATAATAAACTACTTTCACAACTATCGTGCATATTGCCCTTAAGCGATGAAAATTCTCTCTTCCGTTTTTTACGTTTTGTTTTATGTGCTTATCGTGATGTAAACTTAAAGTAGAAGAGGTGTTTTTATATTCGAAAACTCATCTATCTGGAACGGTCTATCTACTTTAATGTTAATCTCCGGAGCAGGTAAAAGGCGGGGTAGGTAGGAACACAATAAAGAATACACCGGTTCTCCAGGTAGAAATAACTTACGCATATCTTCTATTTACCCGTGTGAATAAGGCGTATCAGATTATGGGTCGTAAATTCTCAAGAATGCGGTAAATATAATCATAACTTAGATAGTTGTTGGCAGGAACAAAGAGGTCAATGAAAAATAATTTAGTTACACTGGAAGCTGATAAAAAATGAGATTACTGGGTTATATAAAGATCATTATTGAAGTAAGAAGTAAACGGATTAATAATTAAAATAGAAATCGCTAAATTGACTCAATAAATATGTAATTGCGGATAAGAAGTAGCTGATACGTGAGTTTCTAGATCGTGTAGTTTGTAAGGAATTGAAGCGTGCACTTTGTTAGAACAAAGAAGTGCATGACATTGTCTCTTTTCAATTATACTTAAATTATAATATTAAATTGATGGGAATATGTAAAACCTTTTTATACTCTTTTATCCAGTATTTTCTGCACATACATGCAGACCTTCTACACTCGCCGGTAAGTTTTTAAATTTTTTTCTTTCCCAAATTATTGTTTGTTCTGTTATACATTCACAATTCTATTTAGCTTGTGTAAAATGATAGTTTTAAAAATGAAGGAGGAAATGAAAGCTTGTAAGCTGTGACGCTCGCTGCCACAGTGGACGGTCGAACTTGAAATGTGAATCAAAGCGCCCCGATTCGAGCTTTCAGATCCGGCCACCAGAGAGCGACACCGAACAGACAACGCCAGCTCATTGTGTGCAGTCACTGACCTCTTTCGGTTGAAAGGTATTGCGTGACACTGTAATAATAATTCTGCAGTGCATTTGGTTAAAAATTTAGTCATGAAAACAACGCTTGTCGGTTTCGAAAGGACCGTGGGATTTTTTATATAGTTTAAAGATTTAACAGATTTATTCATGGTTGAGTTAGAAGATACGAGTAGTGGAAATTCTTGTCTGTTTCGACTGCCTACGCTTTTTCTCGGAAATTGTTTAACGGCCAATTTAGATTTACTGTTGTTCTCGCATTAATTTTGATGAATACCACGTATTTTCAACTTGTTTGTTTTATTCATAGTTCCAAACTTTCTAATTAAAAAACTGACAAACATATTGCATATTTTAAAGATTTTACGGTTATTTTTTTTTGTTCCCCAGAGCTGTAATTTCCATGTTTAATTTTCTTCTTCGCCAACGTCTTGTAATGTAATATTTTCTATTTAGTGTTACTTTATTAGTGAGTCTTTCGGGTGTTAGCAGTGTGCTCCTTTTATATTACTGAGTGTTTATGACATTTAACAATTACGCTGATATGTTTAACCGTTCTTCATTTTCGCAAAATATGCGTACTAATTCACTCTGCCCATTTTACGAAGTGAAATCACCTGTGAATACCTATCATAGTGCTAACTTAAATTGTTTTTGTACAAACGTTATGTTGATTTCAGTAGTTGTTGAATTCTAATAATTTGTATTTTAAACAATGATATTTACATATGTCTAATGATCTAATCAATATAGGATTGCAATATCAGCAGCCCTTTATTGCCCTTTGTTTTGTTGTATGCATATTATTCCTCTTATGTTTGTTGGTTTAACATTACACGCAATTTTTTTGGTAAGCTAAATTTAGACTCCTTTTTGACTATTCATAAGTATGGTCTTTATCTGAATTCAATACTCTTTATTCTTTGATCTGATCTACCCGTCATATACATTACCTTTCTTTTTAATGATGTAAACCGATTCTCTAATAAGAAGAAATAAAAGATCATCACTTTTTAAGATTTTTATTCCAAAAAAGTTGAAACCTAAACTTTGTTTACTCAAAATATTCCAATTTCTCATCAATATCAGATATATTAAGCGATTTTATATGAAAAATATTTGAGATTACATGATTCAGGCATAACTTCCAGAAATTTACAGATTAATTTTAGCAATAAAATTTTATAATATGGAAAAGGTACAGTAGACCCGCGGCTATCCGGAGTAATTGGGACCGTGACTATCTCGGATACGGAAAAACTCGGTAGATAAAAACATTTACATCAATTAGATGTAAATGTTTTAAAAAGATGTAAAAAAATGGATATTTACATATACACCTACTTTTTCTGTAAGCAGGAAATTGATAACCTTTATTTTATTAATTTTATTAAAAGCTAGATAGCTAATAGTCATTTGTTTGTAATTTAAATGTATTTTACATAGAAATATTATTTATTTTATTCTCTATTGAGAGTAGACAATTATAAGGTCAATTTTAGGTTGGGTCGATTAATATAAACATAAATTTAAATTTATGTTTAGATACATTTAAATAAAATAAATTTAAACTTAAATTTGAAAAATCGAAGGTGAATTCGAATCATCAAAGTGTATTAACGTATATTCGCAAATACGCTTTGAATTTACGAGTATTTCTAGAAGTGCTATAACTGTGAATATTTCGGTATTTTTAAATGACTTCATGGTGTTCGAAATTCTGTTATTTTAGGTTCTTTGTAAGATTTATTACTCCCGTAAGAATAACTCAAGACTCATTAACAGAAGCGTTAGATTTACAAAAACGGTGGCTTACAATTAAGAATGGCTAAAAAGGAGATAAAAGGTCGTCGATGTGAGGTATAAAAATAAGAAATATAATATGAAATGATGAATAATGAAACAATAATCATCTAAAGTGAATGTTTTGGCAATATTTTCTGCAAATAAAAGTTAGCATGGTTGAGTGTTGAGTTTACCGAAAGTACAAGCTGATTATAGCTGCAAAAATGTCAAAGAGAGAGAGCTTTAGAAAAGTACATTTTGATTATACATATATTATGTTATGAATTCTGCAATTTTTGATTTATGTAAAACAAGAATGAGTAAATATTTGTTTCTTTGGAGATTAATTGCAGTTAATTATTAGACATTTTTTTTGTAAATTGCCCTTTGATAGATTAGGGGATAGATTTAGCAATTATCAAATCAGCAGTTGTCAGATTGCAACAGATGTTAGCAATTAATCTCGAAAGAGAGAAATATTTACTCGTTATTGTTTCATATAAATTAAAAATTGCAGAACTCTTAAAATAGTATAATCAAAATGTACTTTTTAAAAGCTTTTTCTCTTTATATTTGAACCATACAATGCAATACAAAAACATACCAATACTGCCAAAATTAAATTTGTAGATATTACAAGTGTCTCGTCACCATCCTTGCGGATGAAGATTTTATATAGATATTGAATATTTTGATATAATACTTAAATTTCTTAGTTTCAGTTATTTGATTCTTAGATTTTCTTTATAAATATCCAATTTATTACCGATAATAAACCCAGAATTTACTTCGCTGTGAAAGATATTTGTTATTTACTTGTGGTGATTGTCCAGCTCTAAATTTTTTCATTTTTTTCTGATCTGACCTGTCCGGTCATCTTCATTCAAGCCTAGCAATTCTGCATCTTAAGGATATTCCTAGCAATCTTTGTATTCTTCCATCTTATCGGTATAACAAAATTTTAATCATTTCATGTAGTATGTTTTCCCCAGTGGCATCAGATCTTCTATTTTTAGTTCTTCATAGATTTTAAATAATCTTTTTTTTTTAATCAAAGAGATTAAAATAGTAACTAACGATAATGACGATTATCTATTAAGTGTCTTAACCATTGACTACTTTTATTATTATAATAGAATCTTAAGAAACGCGTTTCTTTGATGTAATCCGCTGATCTAACCAGTGAGCCTCCTTTCATTATTGGTTAAAAAACACAAACATGCACCCAAGTCTCCATTAAGAGGGTCGGCACCAGAAAGAGATAGAGAAATCTTAGATGTTAAACCTATGAAGTCGAAATATTGACGAATTTCTAACCGAAAATCAATTTTCCTGTATCCAAAAAACGTTCGTCGATTAACGAACTAGAAAAATTTGCGTGAGCGGATGTTGAGAAACTCTGGAATGAACTAAAATAAACAGCCGGCCAGAAATAGTCGGCGCACCTGTCTCGAATCAACCAAAACGTAATAAATAACGCAATTGATGAAGGCGGATGGGAAAAACGTGAAAGTTTTTCGAGAAAAACTTGCGTCTGCTTTGACAACAACTCATTAGACTAATGAATTATTTAAGCAGCAGAAAATGAAAATGTTTATTTATGACGTCC